GTGAAATGGGTGAAAGTGGTCAAATGGTACAAACTACCAGTTACAGTATAAGAAAAATAATTCCTGGGCATGTAATGTACAGCCACAGTGATTATATTTTATCTTTTAAAATATTTTTATTGATTTCAGAGAGGGAGAGGGAGAAATAGAAACATTGATGGTGACAGAATCATTAACCAGCTATTTCCTACTGGGCATTGGGCCCACAACTTGGGCATGTGCCCCAACTAGGATTCAAACTGTGACCTCCTGGTTCATAAGTTGGTGCCCAACTACTGAGCCATGCCAGAAGGGCAATGGTGACTACATTTTTATTTTATTTTATTTTAAATTTAATAAATCTTTATTGTTCAGATTATTACAATTGTTTCTCATTTTCCCCCCTCATAGCACCCCTCCACCTGCTTCCCACTCTACTTTCTGCCCTAACCTCCCCCGCCCTCATTGTCCTCATCCATAGATGTACAATTTTTGTCCAGTCTCTTTCCGTACCCTCACACCCCTTTATCCCTGAGAATTATCAATATACTCCCATTCTATGCCCATGATTCTATTATATTCACTAGCTTATTCTGTTCCTTAGATTTTTAATTCACTTGATTTTTAGATTCACTTGATAGATATGTATTTGTTGTTCATAATTTTTATCTTAGTTTTTTCTTCTTCTTCTTCTTAAAGAATACCTTTCAGCATTTCATATAATACTGGTTTGGTGGTGATGAATTCTTTTAGCTTTTTCTTATCTGTAAAGCTCTTTATCTGCCCTTCAATTCTGATTGATAACTTTGCTGGGTAGAGTAATCTTGGTTGTAGGTTCTTGCTATTCATCACTTTATTTCTTGCCACTCCCTTCTGACCTGCATAGTTTCTGTTGAGAAATCAGCTGACAATCATATGGGTGCTCCCTTGTAGGTAATCAACTGTTTTTCTTTTGCTGCTTTTAATATTCCCTGTATTTTGTCCTTGGCATTTTAATTATGTTGTTTCTTGGTGTGGTCCACTTTGGATTCCTTTTGTTTGGGGTTCTGTTAGCTTCCTGGACTTGTAAGTCTATTTCTTTCACCAGGTGGGGGAAGTTTTCAGTCATTATTTCTTCAAATAGGTTTTCAGTATCTTGCTCTCTCTCTTCTTCTGGCACCTCCATAATTCAGATGTTGGTACACTTGAAGTTGTCCCAGAGGCTTCTTACACTATCTTCAACTTTTGGATTTTTTTTTCTTTTCTGGTTGAGTGCTCTTTGCTTCTTTGTATTTCAAATCTTTGACTTGATTCTTGCATACCTCTAGTCTGCTGTTGGGTTTCTGTATATTTTTTATTTCAGTCAGTGTATGTTTAATTTCTAGGTGGTACTTTTTCATATCCTCGAGGGTCTCACTACATTTATCAGCCTTTTCTAAGAAATTCTTGAAAAACCTTTTAACTGTGGTTTTGAACTCTATATCCAGTTGTTTGTTCTCCTCCATTTTTTTCGTATATGATCTATTTATTTGTCTCCTCATTTTCACTGAGTTAGTAGGGTGGCTTTGTGTGCTTGGTGTCCTATATGATCCAATGGGTCAGCCTGTCTGTTACCTGAGGTGGACACTCTTGGTGCACCCCTTTGTGGACTGTGTGTACAGACTTGTTTTGCTAAGTCTTGATTGTTGTTGGTGTCACTGGGAGGAATTGACCTCCAGGCCAATTGCTGTGAGGACCCACTATGTCTATAATGGAAGAATTGCTGTGCTGGAGTCACGCTTATGGGGCAGGACTTATTTCAGTGGGGCTTTGGTGTTCACTGAGTCTGCCTCTTACATGTGTCACTTATGAGAGTAGTTGAAATCTGGTGTCGTCTCACACAGACCACTAGATACACTAGTTTCTGGATCTCCAATGCAGTGTAGGTCAGCTACTGTCTGAGGCCACCCAGTAGGAGCTACAGCAAGAACTAGTTTTCTCCTCTTTGCTTGGGATTTGGAGGTTTTGGAGGATTTGGAGCTTTCTGACCAGAGATGCAGTTTGTTTGGTTAAGCTGCAATAGGGCAGGCCATTTATATACCAAAGCTGCTGCGCAGAGCTTGGGTGTGTTTGTAGATTATGAGTTTCCAAGTCCCTGCATCCCACACTCCAATGCAGTAAACAATGATTGCTGGGCGCACCTCTGCAAGAAAGTCACCCTCACTTTCTGACCCGATGGCCGACAGTTCAGCTTCTCCCCGTAGGAGTCTAGGTCCTCCGCATCTCCACAGAAACTAGATTTCAGAGTAATCGGGAGGTTGTCTCCTTTCGGGTTGAAAAAAAGCAACACATCCAATCACCCGCCACCAGCCCACTTCACGTGCCTCTGTACCTCAGCTTTTCAGCACTTGTGCATGTCTCAGTGCTCTTTTCTCTTTCCTTCTAGTTGTAGAACCTCCACTTAGTCAGCTTTCCCATGGTTCTGGTTGATAGACGTTTTGTCTTTTATTTGTAGTTTTCAAATTGTTGTGTGAGGCAGCAGTTTAGGGTTTGCCTATGCCACCATCTTATTTTCTCCTCCCAATGGTGACTACATTTTAAAAAGAAAAGAGAAAAACAGACCCCCCCCACACACACACAATATTTAAATATAGCAGAAAGCTTTTATTTCCTATAGGTTTTTAATATTTTTTTATTGTATAAGAATACCAGTTCATTGTAGAAAAATTTAAACATACTATATTTATAAAAATAATTAAGCAAAAACTCCCCCCAGTACTGAAACCTCCTTTAAATATAACAGTGGTTAGATGCCTTGCAACTCGTCTAGTGCCTGGGAGCCAATGAGATTATGGATCACTGCTCACCATGCTTCCAGCAGTCAGATCCTGGGTCCTGTCCACTGTGGAACAAGCCTTTATAAATTCAGTGACACCCCCACTAGGAAGAAGCCCATTTGGGAGGCCTCTGGAGGTGAGTCCACATTCCAGCTCATGATCCCACATCCACCTGGCAGGGACACTCAGAGGCAAGTCCTGATACACCGGCTCCCTGCTGCCCACTAGCCAGCATATGAGATCAGGTTATGCATGAGCTTGAGCATGGGCTTCCTGCCCTAGCCCCTGGGCCTCCACACATCCAGGTGCCAGGCACCCATCTCTCTTTGCCACCCTGGTGGCCCTCCTCTGAGAATGGCAATGGGATCAGCGGGGTCAGGTTCACAGCACCTCCCACCCTCTGGCACTGCCCTGTGGCTCAGCTCCTAAGAGCCTCTGCTGCTCTGGGCCCTAGGTCCACACCCAGAGCCTGTACTGGGTCCGCTTGAGACCTACCTCTCAGATTGGAAACAGCAGAGAAAGAAGGCTCCTGTTAATAGAGGAATCTCTCCTGTTCTCTTGCACTGCTTTGCTGACAAGTTTCTTACAGGTGGGAGGTGTGGTCTCTCCACTCAGCCTCTCATACAAATGCCCAGGGTAAGGCACAGCCCCTCAGAAGGAAAGTGAAAGTCAGTCATCAGTTCTGACCGTAGACCCTGGTTGTACCCCTTTGCTTGCTTTTAGAAGTTTGTTAAGGTTAGCCCAGGACCTCAGTTCCCTCCTTGGTTTATTCATTGCTAGGGGTTAAGTAAAATCATCTAGTAAAACCACTAATGCAAAGCAGGTGCTCAGGAAACATTCGTGAATGGGTGAGACAACTTTCTCCCAGCACTACCCTGGGAGGACTGTTTTGTAGAAACATGGCGTAACATATGGTTGTATATTCTTCTGCAATCTCATCAAAGATGTGGAAGCTTATTCAGGTGATTGTGCCTTTTTATAAAATCCTGCATCAAGTGATAACTCTTCAAAGGCACTGTAACAGTCAGCTAAAGTAAAACAGCTCAGTGAGACATAGATTGTCTCTTGGAGCAGAAGGTGTGTTGTTTATTCTGCGCACATTATGTCTTCTTTTTCACAGCAAAGTTATTTGTATACAGGTCTGTAACAGAACTGCTGGCTTTCATTTTCATAGCTTACCCCTGATGTGCCTGAAGCTTCCCATCCAGGGAAAGGGCAGACAGACGCCTGAGACCTGCAGGCTGAGGGACCTGCATGCTGAGGGACTATTGCACTACACACGGCAAATACTGAGTAGAGGTGGGTGACAAAACCAGCCATGCCCTCACAATCCTTTCATCTTCCCATACCACACACAGTATCAGTGTTTCCTCAGTCCCAGTCACTCCCAAGGTGAAGTGGCTTAGAAAGTGCACCAGCGACAGACAGCAAATACACATCACAGCAGTTCATGTCTAGGGAGACCAGGCTCCTGCTGGCTGCAAGTAGGTCAGTGTGGACTTCTTGGTGGCTGTCCCCAAAACAGCACAGCGCTCCCACTGAACCTCACAGGTCAATTGGTTTCTGTATCACTGAGCATAGGGATCACATTTCCAGCAAGTAGTACAAGTGGCTGCAGAAACCTTAGCCGCCTCTTTCCTAATACCTGCAGTAAAATAGAAAGTCGCCTGTATACTCATGAAATTGTCTTAAATTATATCATTGTGAACGGGCCTGTCTACCTCTGGCCGCTCGTAGCAATTTAGCTATTTCAGGGAAAGGCATGACTGTATATTTTAACAAGTACGTGATCACAGATCATGAATGCAAACTACGATAAGAGCAAAACCACGCGTGGGAAACGGGACTGGTTTCTCAGGGGCTCCAATTAACTGCTCTCCCAGCTGCTGTGCTGGTTCTGGGGACTCACAAGTTTTGGATTTGAACTCCCCCAGGTGAGGGCCTGAGACCTGCTTCCCACAGTTCCTCAGTCTCTTTTTCACCTGATCGTCACTAATTGTGACATGTGTGCAGAGGGAGAGGAGCGCCGCTGATCCCATGTGCCTGGAGGAAAGCAGCTCGGCCAGCGTGAGCGCAGCACTTGGCCCAAAGTGAAGATGGGAGGGCACTTCTTAGAGCCAGTACTGAGCCTGCCAGTGTGACAGACCCTCCCGAATGGCAATTTCAGGTCCTAGAAAAACACTGACACGTGGAACGCAAATATACAAGGAGTTGTGAACACGGAACTTCAAAACTAGGCCCTTTATTTTTGGGTTCAGGCACACTGTGAAGTATCAGAGGAAACAGGAGACAGGAGAAGGGCTACAGGCAGTGTTGACCACTTTCCTAAGGGGAGGAAAATCGGCCACAGAACAGAATGCTGTTGGTTTTGCAGTGCTGAATAAAGAAAAGAAAGGGGTGGTCAGCATAGAACCGGGGCATGATTCTCGCGCTTCGCAACAACATGATGCCGGCGGTGGCAGCTGCAGCCTCCGTGCCTTCCTCGTTGACCTCCACAAAGGACTTGTGAATGACCTTGGACAGAAACAGGTCTCTCCCAGTCGACATTCCAGAGAAGTCCGCTCTGCCTTGCTCAAAGGCTTCGGTCATGCCCATAGAGCAAAGGACATCCTTCATGTCATAATTCTCCTCCAGTTTGAATCTAGGGAGGAACACTTCCACCTCTTCATTATCCATCATATCTGGCTTGGTCCATTCTATGAATTTCTCATAGGTGAGCTGCTTTTCCACCTAGAAGAGGAGGGTTGAAGAGTTGATGATCTAGAACAGCGCTGCCCAGCGGACCCTGGGCTGCGCTGTGGATGCTCTATGCCACATGTGTCAAACACAAGGCCCGCGGGCCAAATCCGTCCCGCCAGGCCTTGCAATGTGGCCCGCACTGCGCTGTCATCACTGCACTCCGCTGCGTTTCCATCACAATGACAGTTTATGACTGTTCAGTAAACCATTCGGCCCGCGATTTAGGCTGGATTTTAGATTTTGGCCCCTTCTCTGATTGCGTTCGACACCCCTATGAGTCTAAGCTGTGCAGTAGGAGATGGCAGTGATGGGAAGTTATGTAGCATTCATTAGAAACATTCCCTGGGCAACACTCAGAACTGCTGCACAGAGAAGCAAATGTGATCCCCTTGCCTCCCAGCACAAATCAGGGCTCAGCACTCTCACCGTCTCCAGGTCGACGTTTTCATCGGGAAGCATGATGATCATGTTCAGCTCTTTGCCGATGTAGGGCAGCACCAAAATTTTGGTGAATATTTCTCCGATGTAGGTAATATTAAAGGTAGACTTTTTAAACATCATTTGCACAGGTTTCTGCTCATTCTATAAAGGAAAAGGATAAACATTAAGCTGAAACAAGAACCAGTTTACACATTAGAAAAATCAACAGAGCCAACCACTCTGGGCCTCTGGAGATGCTTTTTTGGCCTCCAGAAGACCACATCAGCCCCCTCTTTTGCCAGCCTAATTTCACTAGCTCAACCTCCTGACATGGGAATCCAGGACTCAAATCCTACACTGCTTTTCCCCTGTTGGTGTCATTCAGTCTTGTAACTTTAACTAGGATTCCCAAACTTATATTTTTACTGGGAACTCTCCCCTGTACTCCAGACTAATATATTTTACTGACTGCTTGACACCTGCATTTGGACATAAAGGAACTTCCAATGTCCCATGTCACACTAGGCTCCTCATATTCCCTTCCAAGTCTGTTCCATTTATAATTTTCCCCATCTCACCTGATATAGATGCCATTCATTCCATTGTCAAAAACCCTGGAGTACCCACGATTCCTGTCTTTCACACCCCTCATCTGATTCATTAGCTAACCATTTGGCTCTACTTTTAAAATCCAACTTGTTCTTTCCACCTGCACTGCTACCAGCCTACAGCTGCTCACTGGGATGACCTTCTAAGTGATTCACTAAGGGCCCCTACCCCTTGTGACTTTTTTCACCCAGTGGTTAGAGAGATCTGGCAAAAAAAATCATCAATCAGACCACATCACTCTTTGACTGACCACCTTTCTGTGGCTCCCCCTCCACACCCAGGGACTGAAAACTGAAGTCCTTAAAGCAACCTGCAATAGTGACAAGAGCTTGTCCCCGATGCCATCTGCTCTCATCTCCCTGAACTTATCTGCTAGAGCCACATGGGCCCCTTGGTGGGTCTGTGGGCAAACCAGGCCCACTGAGCATGCCCCCAAGACCTGAGAGCATGCCCCCTGGACACAGGGACAGGTTCCAAGGGCCTCCTTTGTTATTGCAAAATAGTCACCTTGCTGACTTTAAATGGTCTCTCTTGGGTTTGATGCTTGCTAAACTGGCTCTCCCAGGTTCCTTTGAAGTAAATGGCATTCACGAGAACCAGAGGAGTATCTTGATTAACTGAATTTGGGGTCAGCAACTCTGTAATTTTACCTAAAAAAGAAGAATTAAAGAACCAGTTAGCTATGAGTGCCCTGAGGTTTGGTAATATTCAGATAGGGCCATCTCCCTGTGTAGACAAATACACAGATGAAGGAATTTACTGTCCCCCAAATATAACCATGGAAAGGGATCCTGGTCCTTAAAACAGCAGCAGCAAGAATAAATTTTAAAAATACCATCACAAATAAAACACATAAATGAACAAAGTCATATGTGCAAAATGAATTCATCACAAGTGGGACAGGGAGGAAGGCAGGTGTGAAGAAAGGTGAGAGTTTGTAACCTGCATAAGGATAAGTGAAGAGTCATAGGTGGGTGAGGGCACCACTATGCATCCTGTAGGGTACTCCACAGGGCAGGCGCCATGCTGAGCAGGAAGACAGGGATCCAAGTTCTCTTCATACTATTTGAATAAAAGAAAGACTATATTCATATTAATAACAACCAAAACTCAAGTGTGGATTGTTCTGGAAGAGGTATAGTGCATACTTAGAGACATCAGAAATATGAGGATAAGAACAGGAAAAATATTATCAATGTATCACCACTAGAGAAAATGGTGATAGACTGATAATATCTCAGAAGTAGACTTTAAAAGTTCCCTCTTATTTTGAGAAAAAAGCATTTGTTTACATTTGATGTTCTTGTGAAGAAACTGATAGTGAGATCGACTAGAACCCTATCTAATAAAAGAGTATATGTAAATTGACCATCACTCCAACACAAGATGGCCACCCCCATGTGGTCAAAGATGGCCACCACAAAATGGCTGGCAGGGGAGGGCAGTTGTGAGCAATCTGGCCAGCAGGAGAAAGTAGTTGGGAGGAACCAGGCCTGCAAGGGAGGGCAGTTGGGGGCGACCAGGCTGCAGGGTAGGACAGTTGGGGGGGACCCAGGCCTGTAGGAAGGGCAGTTGGGGGCAACCAGGCCGGTAGGTGAGGGCAGTTAGGGATGACCAGGCTGCCAAGGGAGGACAGTTAAGGGTGACCAGGATGGCAGGGGACGGCAGTTAGAGACAATTGGACAGGCAGGGGAACAGTTAGGCATTAATCAGGCTGGCAGGGGAGAGATTAAGGGGTGATCAGGCTGGCAGGCAGAAGCTGTTAGGGGCAATCAGGCAAGCAGTTGGGAGCCAGCAGTCATGGATTATGAGAGGGATGTCTGACTGCCTGTTTAGGCCCAATCCCAGTTGGATCGGGCCTAAACAGGCAGTCAGACATTCCTTGAGGGGTCACAGATTAGAGAGGGTGCAGGCTGGGCTGAGGGACACCCCCCTCCCCCAATGCACGAATTTCATGCACCAGGCCTCTAGTACTAATAAAAAAGAATAACAATGTATTTTCACCTTCTGTCTTCTTAGCTACCCAGGTGTTGATATGTTTTCTAGCCTCCTCTGCAGCTTTGAAGAAGTCAAGCTCTTCCATCTCCGCTTGGTAGAATTTGAGGCAGGACTCTTTGAAAGACTGGGAGAGACAACAATACAATTGTATAGCCACAAAAACAAGCAACACCAGCAGCTTACTTCCTAATTGTGACAAAAAAGAACATAGATAATTTCATGATGTGGAAGAGGAATAAATAAATATAAGAAATAAAAATATTTAGGTGCCCTAGTTGGTTTGGCTCAGTGGATGGAGCATCAGCCTGCGGACTGAAAAATCTTAGGTTCAATTCGGTAAAGGACACATGCCCTAGCTTAATGCCCAGGCAGGAGGCAGCTGATCAATGATTCTCTCTCATCATTGATATTTCTATCTTTCTCTCCCTTACCCTTCCTCTCTGAAATCAATAAAATATATATCTTTTTAAAATTTAAAAATATTGAGGAATAAATAAATAATATGAGAAGTAAGTAAATGAGAAATTAACCTGAAATCAAATTTCTCAATTTTCACCTATATTTGATATTCAGGATATTCAGGCCATAACAGTGGTCTGAATATCAAGTAAACACCATAAATTGCAAGATCCTTAAGGAAGTAGCTGTGCACCAGTTTAATAAATAGACACTAGATGCATAAACGACAGTGTCACTCCAATGGCCACTGCATTTGCTAAGTGACATTCTGCCCACAGCAAGAGCCACAGTTCCCTCTACATTTCAGAACCAGGGCCTATTGTTCCATATAATGAGGAAAAAATGTGCAATTCTATACAACCACTCCCAACACAACTTTAGAAATGTTCCAAATCTAAGACACAGATGACTAATGAGCACTTGAAATATGGCTACTTCTGCTAAGGAACTGAATATTTAACTGTATTTCACTTTAATTAGACTGAAATTTAAATAGTTACCTTTGTCTAGTGGCTACCATTTTGGATGGATTGTTAGAGCATGAGCGATTCCTCCAAAAAATTTAAACTATATTTTGTTAATATAGTTTATGAAATGATAATATTGATGAACAGCTACATTATGCCAAATAAAAGTAGACAATTTGATGTAAAACAAATATACTGGAACAACTAATTCATTGACAATTTACTACCCACTGAGTCAAACCAGTTAGGGCTGTAAATTGTTTTTTAATCTAATTGTTTGTTTTTAGTGTATAGAGATGCAATAAATTTTTGTATATTGATTTTATGTGTTCCAACTTCTTGAATTATTAGTTCTAACAGTTTTTTTGGTAGAGTCTTTAGGGTTTTCTATGTAATATTATATCATCTACAAATAGTGACAGTTTTACTTCCTCCTTTCCTAATGCCTTTTTTTCCTTTTTCTTGACTAACTGCTCTGACTAGGACTTCAGATCAGTGTGTTTTCATTTTCATTGTCTGAAGGTAGACTTTGATTTCTTCTCTGATCTTGTTGTTAACCAACCTGTTGTTAAGTAGCATGTATTTATCTACACATGTTGGTGTGTTTTTCAGTTTCTTCTCACACCTGATTTCTAAAGTCATACTATAGTGACCAGAGAAGATACTTGACATGATTTCCATTTTCTTAAATTGTGGAGACTTGTTTTGTGACCTCCTAGCATGTGTTCCCTCCTAAAAATGTTCCAGTTCATTTGAAAAGAATGTATATTCTTTTGTTTTTGGCTGAAATGCTCTAAAGATATCTGTTAAGTTCATCTGGTTCATATGTCACTCATGGCCACTGTTTCCTTGTTAGTTTTTGGTCTGGCTGAACTATCCCATGATGTCAATAGGGTATTCAAGTCCCCTACTATGACTGTATTAATGTTGATCTCTCCCTTTAGGTCTGTCAATATTTGACATATATTGGGTACTGACATATATTGGGTCTGTCAATATTTGACATATGTTGGGTATATAAATGTTTAAAAGTTATTGACTTTTGTTGAATTGATCATTTTATCATTATGAAAATGCCTTTGGGAGGTACTGTAGGGGAGGGTATTTAAGTTTAATGAATTCTTCTATTTGTTTTTGAACCTCGGCTTCTCTTACCCTATCAGATGGCCCGCCGCCATCAGATATATGGATTGGAGCTCGCGGTGGCCAGCGGATGGGTTTGCCAACTGTGCCACGGCAAGAGGCTTGGGCGTACTTAGAGTGGCCTTTGGAGGTATGGTCGTACTCGCCTCCGAAGGAGCCAAGGTAGGTTTTCTCGAGAATGGCAGTTAGGTATACCTTGCCATTTGTACGGGAGCACTGTTGGACACTGCTATAACAGGTAGAGTGTAGTTCTGTGACTGTTTGGCAATCACTAGGACAAGATCCAGGTTTGCCGTCAACTGGGAGTATGATTTTGGGCTTGGTACGGCATTTCCAGCTTTGTTTAATTCCATCATACCGTGGTTCATAGACAAGATAGGTAGTGAAACTGCCGCAATCGGCTATACGGGTGTACCTGGGAGGAGCTCCTGCATTACAATCTTTGTTTTAAAGCCTATTTTGTGTGATACAAGTATTAATACCTCATCTTTTTAAAATATTTCTATTAGCATAAAATATTTTTTTCATTCATTTACTTTCAGTCTGTGTATGTCTTTCAATCTGAGCCAGGTCTCTTATAAGCAACATACATACAGGTCTTATTTGTTTTTTATCCACTCAGCCACCCTATGTCTCTTAATTAGCACATTTAGTCCATTTACATTTAAAATAATTTTTCATAGGTATTTCCATTTAATTGTTTTCTGATAGTTTTTGTAGTTCTCTGTTCCTTATTCTTTTGTTCTCTCTCTTCTATGTTAATAACTTTCTATTGCGTTTGGATCCTTTTCTCTTTATTTCTTGTATACCACTTATAGATTTTTGGTTTGTGGTTATGATGTGCTTCATGTATACCAAGCTATGTTAATAGTAGTCCATTTTAGTTGATGGTGGCTTATGTTCTAACACATTCTAAAATCACTACAATTTTTCCTCACCCCCTCTACATTTATGTTTTTGTCATTATTTTTACTTCTTTTGGTTGTATCTGTTTGTGTGTGTTCCTTAATTTGTTATTGTAATTACACATGATCTTGGAGCCCTTTGTCTTTATGGAAAGTTTTCTTTTTCTTATATCTAAAGCTCATAAAAGAATGATAACCTACGACGTAGCTAAGACTGATAAAAATAAGTAAAGCAGTCGGGACCGGTTTGGCTCAATGGATAGAGCGTCGGCTTGGGGACTGAAGGGCCCCGGGTTTGATTCCGGTCAAGGGCATGTACCTTGGTTGCGGGCATATCCCCAGTAGGGGGTGTGCAAGAGGCAGCTGATCGATGACTCTCTCTCATCGATGTTTCTAACTCTCTCTCTCCCTTCCTCTCTGTACAAAAATCAATAAAATATATTTAAACATAAAAATAAGTAAAGCAGGTTATAAAAAAAAATCACACTGTGGCATAGCTACAGCATTTTGGACAGTAATTTCACAATATTCACTTAAAACTTTACTCCCTTCCTTTATTCTATAAGTCCACAGTGGAGTATCATAGTTATTTACTGTCTATATGGTTCAGATTGGGCCAACCTAAATGCCCGTCAACGGGAGAATGATTACAATACATCCATATTTAATAATACCAGATAATAAAAAGAAAACAAAAAAAAATTAAAAACTAAGAAAAAAAGCAAAAACAGAAAAAGAATACCAGATAATAGTAAGAGTAAGGCATATCCACATATTTTGAGATACAAAAAATTTAAGTCATAGTGTTCAGTGAAAAGAAACAAATTTTTAAAAAAAGATGTTATAATGATGTTATATAGGGGAAAACCACACAAAACAAATTTCTACATGTATGGGGGTTATATACTTCAAATTTCTAAAAGCTCTTACACTGGGGAGGGAACAACGGATTGTAGAAAAGAAACTGCAAGGGCTCTTGCTTTGCCTCCTTTAGTATCCATATATATAAAAGACTAATATGCTAAGTGTCAGACCATTCGACCAGTTGCGAGGAAGCATACTGACCACCAAGGAACAGACACTCTGACCAGTAGGTTAGTTTGCTGCTGGGGTATAGCAATTGGGACTGGGTGAGATGGGCTGAACAGGCCCTGGAGCCCTCCCGCAGCCCCTCCCCAGCCAGAATAATGCACTCATGGGTCCTTTGGCTTGGGCTGAATTCTTATAATCTGGAAACCCTCGGGGGATATCTGAGAGCCAGTATAGGCCCGATCTGCAGGCCAGCCTGAGTGACTCCACTGGTACATGACTATATTCACTTGAGTGGTTTTTAAAACATGGAAAGCATTATAGATAAAGAGAACCAATATACTTAGACAAATAAACACTTAAAAAAATATTCTGGCCCTAGCTGGTTTGGCTCAGTGGATAGAGCCTTGGCCTGCAGACCGAAGGGTCCCAGGTTTGATTCCAGTCAAGGGAACATGCCAGGTTGTGGGCTGAATTTGATTCCCAGTAGAGGGCATGTAGGAGACAGCTGATCAGTGATCTCTCTCATCATTGATGTTTCTATCTCTCCCTTCCTCTCTCTGAAATCAATAAAAATATATTTTTAAAAATTCTGTGTGGGAAAAAATAATAAAAATATTTTTATGTGTAAAAATTGAACATGCCTCACACTGCACACAAAAATTACCAATATAGGAAAAACTTATTAGAAATATTCAGTTTTTGTAATTTCTTTGTTTTGGCCAATTCATCTTATATTGTACTAAGCTCCATGTTAGCTTTTTTTTTTTATGACAAGTCACTTAAGCTTCATAAGTATTTGGATAGAAATTGTTATAAGGCCTATTTTACAGAGTATAAAACTGAATGAGAGTTACAGGAAGTGTGAGAGGTGAGTAGAGGTCATGCTCGTCTGTGTGAATTTATAGCTCACAAGCTTTCTGCTGTACCACATGACCCCTCCCCACTACCTGTGGTCTTCACTTCCTTAATGAAAACAGCAATTACAACTTACTAAGTTGAAATCAAAGGACTTTTCTCCGAAGAGCCTGTTGGCAGTTCTAAGCAAGTACTTCGTGCCAGCCCTGTTAACCTCGGTGAGGAGCGTCTGGAAGCCCTGGTGGACATCTTCACTTTTGCCACCACTTTTACTGAAATAAAGTGCCTGAAACAGAACACAGAATAAAAATGTACAACTTCAGTATGCTTTGACTTCAGGAAATTGGATAAAACACTCAACACTGCCTAAGGACTGTGCAGGTCCTCACTACAGACTAAGAGAATAGTCACCCAACTAAAGACAAAAGTATCTTGAAAGTCACTCTTCCCTCTAACACATCCTGCAAGGAGTCAGAGCCCTCCCTGTCTGCACTGGCAGGAGCAGAAATGCCCTTTGCAGACCCAGCTTCTGGGTGCACCACTCTTGCTCTCTTCCTGAAAATAAGGCTGTCAGCCTGGCCCCAATTCTCAGTGAAGACAGACCACTCCCAATAGCAAAAGTTGCAGCCTCCTCTCAGTCTTCGGATCCAGGCTGGCCCTGTAATTGTTCTGACCAATGGAGCACTGGGCCTTCAAAGGCCTGGCAGCTCCACATTTGCTATCCTGGATCCCAGCCGCCATGGTGTCAGGAAATCCAAGCTGTCCTGTGGCAGTCACATGGAAAGCCTAGGAGAGCAACACCTTCGGGGGAGAGCTACTTGTCAAATGGCAACCTTGGCCAGCAGCCTTTCTTGGATCATAAGTGATCCCAGCTGACACCATGGAGTCAGCCCACAAATCTGAAAAATAATCAACCATTGTTATTTCCAATCACTAAGTTTTGGGATGGTTTGTTTTGCAGCCGTAGAAAATCCACACTGTAATCTAGACATAAAGTTATGCCATAACAAAAATCTAATATGTGTATAGCATTTGCTTTGAACTTAGGCAGCTGTCAGAGACTGGGTGGAAGGGAGGGAGGAGACTGAGAAAAGGCTGGAAGGACAGTGAAGAAATTCTTACTGGAGGCTGGAGAAAAGGAGCTCACGGCATGGACTGGGAGAATTGGACAGACTGCCATCTACAATGATGGGAAAGGTTAGACATTTTGCAAGTGAACCGTGGATTTGATTTGGGAAGAAGTCTAGAAAGAACGTGGCTCCCTTCAGCTCCCTGGGATAAAGTATGGGAACATAAAGATAAGCTAAAGATGGCTTCATTTTCAAGCAGAATCTAAAGGAAGTATTTCCAACCTAGTATTTGTGGGGTAGAAAATAAAAATGTTTCTTATTCCCAGCCTCTCCACTGGGCAAGTGATTCTAAAAGTACTAGTAGGATATGACCTCAGGGCAATTGTAAATCCAAGAACTAGGCCTCAAAGGGCAGAATTTAGTGCACTTTGTTAACACCTTAGAAAGATTAAGTGCCACAGAGACCCTCCTGCCCTAGCATCTTTAGGACACTGTCCCCCAGCACAGAGTCCTGCCTCAAACAGGTACCCAGCAATTGCTTTTGTTCAAGATTTAAGTTGATATATACAATATCCCACCACTGTTCATAAGAACACCTGCCGACACCTTTTCTTAGACTTCCAGCTTCCAGAACTATGAAGAAATGAATTTTGTTGCTTCAAACACTCAGTGTGTAGTACTTGTTATGGTAGCTGTAGCAGATTGAGACACCACCCTACAACGTGTGAAGGGTGTGTCCACTGTAGATATCCCACCCTGTGTAACCACTGTATATTGGGGGGTAAAGGGGCAACAATTTGTTTTTAGTTCACAAAGCTCTGCACCTAGGAACCACACCAAAGAGCCTCAATAGCTTTGTTCTTCCTAGACTTCAAGCGCGAACTGGGCCCACGATGAAATCAGACTCCAGTACAGGGGGAGGGGGGAGTGTATTTTTCCTATGGGAGGGCTGAGAACCATTAGGAGCCAGTGGGCAGATTGTGGCAATCAGGGAGGGACCCCGATGAGCTAATACCTTAGTCTTTAGCACCTGCACACCACTCTGGAGGCAGACCCTGGGACTGGCTTCAGTTATGGGGCATCAGGATGTGTGACAGCACAGAGGCTGGAAAAGCACTTGCACATTCAAGCTTATCCTCCTGGAAGCTTGAACTGTGTTATGAAGAAGTCCAGGCCACCCTGCCAAAGAGAGGCCATGTGGGAGGCCAGGCCAAGGCAGCACGCAGAGGCCACCTGCATGGAGGAGGCTGGAGGCCTACACCAGTGACACAGCCCCGCCAAGTGGAACAGGATCACGTTCAGTCCACCCAGAGCAAATCTTCACCTTAAGCTCTAAGTTTTTTTGAGGTAGTCACTCAACAACAAAGAACTGAGAAACCATTGAAAAATTGTACAGTTAAATAAGAAAATAAAAATAAAAAAATTTAACAATTGAAAAGCAGTTGACAATACCCAAAGACTACTGTGAGATTCAACCTAACCTTGTGGCTTTATGTCTACTCACAAAGTCCTACATAAATCACTACCAGGGGTTGGCAAAAACTGATTGCTTTCCCAAGTAGAGGGTGCCACTCATCCCTAACAGGTCAGAGGCATTCGCCCCAGGGCACATGCCCAGGGCTGACACATCCTTCCCTGGCAGCATTCCACCCACAGCCCTGCCACACTGATAGAGAGCAAGTACATTGAGATCTGAAAGATGGAAGACCAATTAACTAACAAATTAATAGTATTTCCTATTCCCCAGAAATGGCTTCAGGCACGTACCTGGACAATCTGGGCTGCGGTGTCTCCACTTGCCCCCATGAGGACCATGGCCAGGGCAGAGGAGATGCTGAAGGGTGAGAAAAACACGTTTTTCGATTTGTCTTCACCCAGCTTTTTCAAAAGGTTTAGGGCAAAAGTGGCATTTGCTTCAGAAAGAGTATCCATGATGGCGAGTCTGAAACGATGGACTTAACGTCAGTATCACATAAACTAGGCTTATAGTTGACTGTATTTCACGCTCTTAACAATGACCACTGACACCCTGGTTCAGTCAGCAAAAAAATGCACATAAAACTCTTCCTGAGGAGGATCCAAGATGGCTGCTCGGGTAGACACCTAACCGCAGCAGCTCACAACAATTTCAATGGAATACAACTAAAATGTAGAGTGGACATTACCCAGACCTACAGGTAGTCGACTGAAAACTCTACAATAGGAAGGTGGGAGAAAACCAGAAGGAAAATCAGAGGAGCTGAAAAAAAAGCCTAAGGTACGGAGACATGCTGCGCGCTCGCACGTACGCGCGCACCGAGAGGTCGCAGCCGGAGAGGAGGAGAGGGCTGGGTGCTGCCTGGCGTTCCCTAGCAGGAAGGAAATAAAACCCCCAGCCTGGGCTGAACCCCCGGCAGCGCTGAGCCCCATTATGGGCCAGATTCTGGGGACCCAGGCTCCGGCAGGGGGAGACGGGGCTGGGAGGCTGAATCCCAGGGGAAAAACGAAAGGCGGAGGGGGGGGGGGGTGTCCCGGAGTCGCGCGCACTTTGCGCGCAGAGGACTGAATGTAGACTCTGATGCTGGATTACCCTAGCGGGAAGAAACAAAGCCTCCGGCGGCGTTGAGCCTCAGAACGGAGCGCCCCGAACTCCCGGTCTGGGCCAGTCCCTGGGGACCCAGGCCCAGGCACAGGGAGACGGGGCTGTGAGGCGAAATCCCGGGGACGGCGCGAAAGGCGGGGGCCCCCGGAGTCGCGCGCTTTGTGCGCAGAGGACTGAATGTTGACTCTGATGCTGGATTACCCTAGCCAGAAGAAACAAAGCCTTCGGCGGCGCTGAGCCTAGGACCTGACCGCCCCGAACTCCCAGTCTGGGCCAGTCCCTGGGGACCCAGGCTGGGCAGGGGGAGACGGGGCTGTGAGGTGGAGTCCTGGGAGCACGGCGAAAGGCCGAGCCCCCGGAGTCGCGCACACTGCGCGCAGAGGACAGTCTGTTGACTCTGATCCTGGACTCCCCTAGCGGGAGAGAGAAAGAAAGCTCCAGACTGGAGGATCGCGACGAGGAGCAGGAGCCCCCGCTGGACACCGGCCAGCCGGGCACCAGCAAGGAGCCAGGCAACGGGGCCCCCAGGCGGGGGGGGGGGGGGGGGGGGGGTGCCCCTGAGCCATCGACCACTGAGCGCAGGCAACTGAGCCAAGGACCAGGGATGCTTCCTGGGCGGCGCCAACCCCGGCGACAGGCTGAAGCAGCGCAGGAGCCCCCGGAGAACAAAGGGGTGCCACAGGCCAACCTGCTGAGATTCCAGGACCGGGAGGAAGAAACCATAGAAGTTCTCAATGTGAAGAAATCAAGTGAGAGCAAATGATAGTAAAATTACTTAAGAAAGAATGCAAAGAATATCTTGAAAAATCAAAGACTAAGTCAGAACTCAACTCACCAGCCAACATTGCAACATAAATGCGTTTTTTTTTTAAAAAAAAAAAAAAAAAGAAAGAAAGAAAGAAAAAGGGACAGAATGTTGGAACAGCGGCAACCAGGCCTAGAGTGGCCAGGCACAAGGCAGTGGCAGCCGGGCCCGGAGCAGCAGTGGGCAGGCCCCAGAGCAGCAGGAGCCAGAACCAGAGCATCAACGGCCAGTCCAGGAACACCCAGACCCGGAGTGGCTGGGCCCAGAGCAGCCGGGTTGGGAGCGGCCAGGCCCAGAACAGCAGAAGCCAAGCCCAAAGCATCCAGCCCGGGTGCAGCCAGGCTCGGAGCAGCTGGGCCCGGGGCAACCGGGCCCAGAGCAGCCGGGTCTGGTGCGGCCAGGCCCGGAGCAGCGACTGCCAGGCTGGGAGCGGCCAGGCCCGGAGCACCAAGTCTGGTGCGGCCAGGCCCGGAGCAGTGGCTGCCAGGCTGGGAGCAGCCAGGCTAGGAGCAGCGGCTGCCAGGCTGGGAGCGGCCAGGCCCGGAGCAACCGGGTCCGGTTCGGCCAGGCCCGGAGCAGCGGCTGACAGGCTGGGAGCAGCCAGGCCCCGAACGGCCGGGCCCGGAGCAACCGGGCCCAGAGCAGCCGGGTCGGGTGTGGCCAGGCCTGTAGCAGTAACAGCCAAGTCCAGAGCAACTAGGTCGGGAGCGGCAGTGACCAGACCCGGAGCAGCGACTGCCAGGCTGGGAGCAGCCAGGCCCGGAGCAACCGGGTCTGGTGTGGCCAGGCCCGGAGCAGTGGCTGCCAGGCTGGGAGTGGCCAGGCTCAGAGTAGCGGCTGCCAGGCTGGGAGCGGCCAGGCCCGGAGCAGCCGGGTCTGGTGCGGCCAGGCCAGGAGCAGCGGCTGACAGGCTGGGAGCAGCCAGGCCTGGAGCTCCGGGCCCGGAGCAACCGGGCCCAGAGCAGCTGGGTCGGGTGTGGCCAGGCCTGTAGCAACAACAGTCAAGTCCAGAGCAACTAGGTCGGGAGCGGCAGTGACCAGACCCGGAGCAGCGACTGCCAGGCTGGGAGCGGCCAGGCCCGGAACAGCCGAGTCTGGTGCAGCCAGGCCCGGAGCAGTGGCTGCCAGGCTGGGAGCAGCCAGGCTAGGAGCAGTGGCTGCCAGGCTGGGAGCGGCCAGGCCCGGAACAGCCGAGTCTGGTGCGGCCAGGCCCGGAGCAGTGGCTGCCAGGCTGGGAGCAGCCAGGCTAGGAGCAGCGGCTGCCAGGCTGGGAGCAGCCAGGCCCGGAGCGGCCGGGCCCGGAGCAACCGGGCCCAGAGCAGCTGGGTCGGGTGTGGCCAGGCCTGTAGCAGCAACAGCCAAGTCCAGAGCAACTAGGTTGGGAGCAGCAGTGACCAGACCCGGAGCAGCGACTGCCAGGCTAGGAACGGCCAGGCCCGGAACAGCCGGGTCTGCTGTGGCCAGGCCCGGAGCAAAGGCTGCCAGGCTGGGAGCGGCCAGGCCCGGAGCAGCCGGGTCTGGTGCGGCCAGGCCAGGAGCAGCGGCTGACAGGCTGGGAGCAGCCAGGCCCGGAGCGGCCGGGCCCGGAGCAACCGGGCCCAGAGCAGCCGGGTCGGGTGTGGCCAGGCCTGTAGCAGTAACAGCCAAGTCCAGAGCAACTAGGTCGGGAGCGGCAGTGACCAGACCCGGAGCAGCGACTGCCAGGCTGGGAGCGGCCAGGCCCGGAACAGCCGGGTCTGGTGCGGCCAGGCCCGGAGCAGTGGCTGCCAGGCTGGGAGTGGCCAGGCTCGGAGCAGCGGTTGCCAGGCTGGGAGCGGCCAGGCCCGGAGCAGCCGGGTCTGGTGCGGCCAGGCCAGGAGCAGCGGCTGACAGGCTGGGAGCAGCCAGGCCCGGAGCAACCGGGCCCAGAGCAGCCGGGTTGGGTGTGGCCAGGCCTGTAGCAGCAACATCCAAGTCCAGAGCAACTAGGTTGGGAGTGGCAGTGACCAGACCCGGAGCAGCAACTGCCAGGCTGGGAGCGGCCAGACCCGGAGCAGCCGGGTCTGGTGTGGCCAGGCCCGGAGCAGTGGCTGCCAGGCTGGGAGCGGCCAAGCTTGGAGCAGCGGCTGCCAGGCTGGGAGCGGCCAGGCCCGGAGCAGCCGCGTCTGGTGCGGCCAGGCCCGGAGCAGCGGCTGTCAGGCTGGGAGCAGCCAGGCCCGGAGCGACAGGCCCAGAGCAATTGGGCCCAGAGCAGCCGAGTCGGGTGTGGCCAGGCCTGTAGCAGCAACAGTCAAGTCCAGAGCAACTGGGTCGGGAGCGGCAGTGACCAGACACGGAGCAGCTGGTTGTGGAACAAACCAGAGCAACAGAGGCCAGGCCCGGAGCAGCCTGGCCCAAAACAGCTCGCTCCTCACCTGCCCCTGCCCCACGGCTGCCCCTCAGACATGGCTGGAAACTTTTGCGGGAACTTGAGGGTCTGCTGAATCAAGTGATGAAGGCTTATATCTGGATGTGTTGAGTTAGTATAGTGCTGGGGTGTTGATCTGTGAGTGCCTTGGGTGGAGCCTGGATGAGGCTGGTTGTCCTATTTGGAAATGTCTTTTGTGTGAAGTGTATCATTGGGCATGTGGAGGTATTATTGATATGAGAAAATGCTAAGTAACAGATTTGCTATCTGAAAAGGGATTTTCTATCGGGGAAAGGGAGGGAGGAAGAGACTGAACATAAACTGTGCACCAATGGATGAAGATGAGGGGGCAGAGGGTGGGGTGGGAACCTGGTGGAGGGGGGAAGAAACGAGGAACCTGTGTAATAATATGAACAATAAAGATTGATTAAAAACAAAACAAAACAAAAAAAACACTCTTCCTTTGGGGGAACCTCAAAGTTATATTGTGTTTCTAATTTTAAGTGAAAAAACATTGAAGTTATACTTATAATAGAATCCTGTTTTTTGGGGATAAGCAGGAGGATTTCTATCTATACATGTGTCCGTGAGCCTAGAGAAGGTGTGGACGGTACACACTCAACCTCTTATTTAGTTACTTCCTGGGAGAGACATTAGGAAAGGAATTACTGGCTTTTGGTTCCATTTCTGCATTGTTTGGTGTGTTGAATAAATTTATATGTATCCTCTATAATAATCCCCTAAAATTGACTGAATGGCAGAACAATTGATCATTATTATGTGCACTGGCCACTAAGGGGCAGATGCTCAAAACGGGAGATGCCTGCTGGTGGTCAGTGTACTCCCACAGGCTGGCGAGCACGTCTGTGGTGGGAGTCTCCCCTACCTCTGGGGCAGCGCTAAGGATGTCCAACATCCCCTGAGGGTTCCTGGACTGTGAGAGGACACAGGCAGGGCTGCGGGACCCCTCTAGTTACTTTATAACTTAAAATTCATTCATAATGATACCATTGTGAGTAAGAACAGAAAAGTAGCAAAGGGAAGGCCAAATATAGGCATGTCATTGGGCAGCTTTGCCAGGAAGTTAAAGCTTTACATTCCTCATGGGTCCAATGGAGGAGAGATAGACACATGCCCAGTAAAGTAGAGGTGACATGGAAAGGTACTTGT